GGCACTGGGGCCGACAGAGGCTCGAAGAGCCGAGCTCTCTTCTCTGACACATATGTCTACTGCTCGTGACGCGCCGCAGGGCTTTTTTTGTATGCACCGGGCGGATTCTTTGAGTAACCGAATGTCCAACCAGAAGCGCCGCTGGTCGTGAGGTCAGAATCCTCCAATGAGGTCGCCGCTGGGCCGCGTCATTCTCATCAAATCCGGGGCCGCTGCACTGCACGTGGCTGCACCCAAGGACGAGTGACGCCGCCACGCATTGCGCAAGACTCGCCAGACTGAAAGGCGCCTATTGCTGCAACGGGCTCGTGGACTGATGAGGCTCGCTGTGCGTTGTGCGACAGAAAGGCGCCGCCGCGTGATGACGCTGTTGAGTTGTTCGCGTCAGGCGGGCTCGCGTGCTGGCCTTCACACATATTGCCTTTTTCAGAGGCATGGACGTTTCGTGTGGACTCGCAGGCATAACAACACCAAGGGTCTCAACAAGACCATCGCCGGTATGCTAGCCATGTATGTCAACGTCGAGCACAAAACGTGGGTTGCAATCCTTCCGTACGTGGCCTTCGCGTACAACACCACCGTCCTAGAAATGACGCAGATGACGCCGTACAAGTTGGTCTACGGAAAGAAACTGACAACGACGCTCGACGCCATGCTACCACACGTCGCTGATGAAGAAAGCTTCGACGTCACCGTCTACCTTCAGCGCGTGGAAGAAGCTTGTGAACTCGCCCACCTACGCATCAACAATCAGCAGGCGGCCGACAACTGCCGTTGCAGTCTTCGACGAAGCTTTCGTGGAGTACCAGCCCGGTAACCTTGTCGGTGTATGGACGCCTATACGCCGACGTGGACTCAGTGAAAATCTTCTACGGCAGTGCTATCTAACCATACAGAGTAGTTCGACGTCTCGGCCCACTCGACTACGAGGTTGTTCCTTACGGCATTGCGAACTCTCAACGGCACCATGCTCGACATGAAGTCGTCCATGTCGTGCGCGAACCTGAGGACTCTATTTTGTTGTTGTATGTACTTTACTTCTTCTACTTATTGTTTATTGTTTTTATTACTGTACCTTCGTCTTTTATAAAGCATCGGGACGATGCATTTTTTTAGAGGGGGGGGGGGCAACGCCACGTTTCTTTCCTCAAGTTTTGTTATCACCCTGTTACACTACCTTCAGCGCAAACCGCGCCTACGATGTTCGAAAAGCTTTAAAGCTGTAGTAGATTGTTTTGTTAAGATCACGCCCACTTCTTGAACATATCAGATTGTTCTGGAACCTACGTCACCGCTAGCGATAACGGTAGTACATTTGATGGGCGATGTGCTTCGCCGTTTGTCAGTTGATCGACGGCTCAGTGCAAGACTTTCCGTTTACCGGGCACAGGTTCGCCCAAATAAACAGACTAGTATTTGACCCGCAGTCTGTTTCAATCGTCCACGTCCCGACTCTGTGACAGTATTATCGAACAAATATAAGCTTGATGTTTCGAGTGTGCTCAATAATGCTATAATAATACCTACACAAGTATGAATTCAGAGGCGCGTTCGTTTTGCTTCGTGAAGACAACTGCAAATGGCATCAAAGGCTGTCCTGCTGCTGAAGCCCAGAGCCGAGACACCAAAGGCAAGTAGACTGTTAATTTTGAATGTCAGCCGTAAGGTTACCGAATGAGATAATAAGGAGTCGTTTTCTTGACAATCTGTAATGGTGACATAACCCCCCCCCTTCCTTAAGGGAATCGTGAGGAAACGTGAATGCATTGCATGTGCAGAAAGAGGCTATTGCTGTCAGACATTCGCCTTCACCGACGGCTACCATCGCCTTGAGAGGCACCCAGCCAGTGAACAGTCGAGAGGCAGGAGCGAGCGGCCGGGAGAGTTGGGCGCCAGCGTTCTCGGCTCGGCGTTGGCGTTTCACATCGCGTCTTGAGCACAAATTTCCGGAAGTTCTTAGGAGGCACCCAGTCAGCGAACTCTCGAGAGATAGGAGCGAGTGGACGGGAGGCGAGAGTGAGGAGCGAGCGTCCTATACTTTCTCGCACTACAGGCTCCGGTTTCTAGGGACGAGGATAAGTGCTCGCACCCGCAGCTGTTGCTATGAAAGAGGTAGTGAGAGTGGAGAGATAACACCTGCCGGTGCGCGAACACCACCGCGGACAACGCCGGATGACTGACATAGCCCTGGCTTAAAATGCATACCATTCGCACGCGCGTGCTGGTACGATCTACTGTGTGCGTGTGTGTGCGTGCGCCTGTGTGTATGTATGTAACACAACGTATTAATAAGTATGCACTTAGTGGTTGAAGGGCGCACCAGGGAAGGATTTCGCTATCGCGTTCAACTCTTAAAGGAGGAACTTAAGAGTCACCCAATTTTTGTAATACCGTTTCCGAACAAAAGGTGAATAGGGGAGGGAAGATATCGCCAGAACAGGCCTGTGTCAATACGGATCCAACGCAGGCACACAACATGGTGATCTAGTTAGTATGACTTCTAGATGTCTGGTATGACACCACTCAATTTCCTACTTGAATTTGAATGTCCAGGATGCTACTGATCTATGACATCTGCACAAAGTGAAAATTTTCGGTATGTTGTTATGCTTATACTGGCCACCAGTGGAAGGAGCGAGAGTATTGAACCATTGAGTGCCGCCTGCCCCGCCGCGGTGGTCTAGTGGCTAAGGTACTCGGCTGCTGACCCGCAGGTCGCGGGTTCAAATCCCGGCTGCAGCGGCTGCATTTCCGGAGGAGGCGGAAATGTTGCAGGCCCGTGTGCTCAGATTTGGGTGCACGTTAAAGAACCCCAGGTGGTCAAAATTTCCGGAGCCCTCCACTACGGCGTCTCTCACAATCATATGGTGGTTTTGGGACGTTAAACCCAACAAATCAATCAATCAATCAATCATTGAGTGCCGCCTGAGCTAATGAGTCCGTCATTTCATTTAACTTTATTTCACAATGGCTGTGTACCCATAATATTTTAAATAGCTTCCGCCGAAGAGGAACTAGTGTAAGGAACGTCATTTTGGCATCTGATTTAGACGAAGCTGTAAGGGATGTACAGTATGGTCCACTCTTGGAGGAAACATGGCGACGCGTGGCTGGCGGCCCGCGTGGCGCAAACTGGCGGCCAGATTTGTAAGCATAGCGCATGCGCATAGACGCGAAAAGGTGGGGCCTGCCGCGTTTTGTCCGCTACTTTCCGCTCCGGCGCTTCCAGTGCACTGTATACCGCGTTCGCTTTTCCGCGGTGTGATTGATTTCCCCGCCACTCTCCCTGCTCCTGCCCGGGTAATCAGCGCGCAGAAAAAAAGTGTCGTTCTTTTGTTGTTGTGCATTCTCAGCAGTTTTGTTGTGATTCCATTCATGGCTACAGCAGCCGATTTCACAATACAGGCGAAATGCAAAAAAAAAGAGGAAAAAGCCATGTGCCTATATCATTTAGAAAATCTTAAGGAAACACGAGTTTGAAAATACTTCAATGTATCCCACTACGGTGGGACACAAAATTATATAATTATTGTGCACTGCAATACCCAGCAAGTGTTAGTTATAACTCGCGTGACAATTCGTTTTCTTCGTTGAAGCGAAAACGCTAGAAGCTCTTTATTTAGAACATACAATAGCGTTCATTTTTGCAAAAATAATTACGTTTGAGCAATACACGTACCGTGAAATGGTGTGCATAGAACACTACGGAGTAAACAAAGAAAATGTTATTCCTAGAACCTTTGTGACAGACAGGTCCAGTGAGGTCAGATCTGTAGCCTCGAAACATTTGAATAGTGCAAAGGTAATGAAACAAATGTGTGCCCTGCGAAACACAAAATAAAATCCATCTCTGTGTAAGCAAAATAGGACTACGCGTGACAGAACTAGGCACTGCAAAAAATTACATTCGTAATGCTGATGATAATGCTGGTAATAAGAAAGTGGTCTTTTCACGACGGCAGTAACAGTACGCTAACTCTATTCTTTGGCGTACAGCTCGACTATTCGAAGCTTTTCGTCCTCAGGCACTCTAGTCATGCCGCTTCTAAGAACTAGCTCTGCCGAAAATGTGATTAGCGAGTATATACTCCCCCAGCAGTGGAATTCAGTGAAAGTGATAACGAAGCCCAACATTCACGTAGCCTGGTGTTTTTGCCCACCAAGAATGTAATTGTAAGCTTTCCAAGCGCTGTTCGAATAAGCCAGCCGCTTTTGATAACGGACATGAAAATCGATGGTCGATGAAGCGAGCACAGCAAGCTTGTCGCTAGCGCGCGCCAAGCGTAGGGCGGGGAAGTAGCAGATGACGCGGGCAAGTATACCGCCCTTGCGATTCTGCGCGCATGCTCCGCATTTCCAAAGCTCGCCAGCAGTTGACACCCCGCGGACCGCCGGCCACGCGTTCGCGTGTTTCCCTTAACAGTAGACCGTACTGTACAGTGGTGAGCACTGTTACGGTGAACACGCGAGCGCGTGGCCAACGGCACTATGAGCGCCACGTAACAGCCATCGTTGGAAACAATGCACATGCGCAGCATGTGCTTTGCGAAACACTCTTTCCACCGCGCGCATCACGTAATCGATACGCTTGTTTGTCGTCTGCTAGCCGCATTTTTCGTTCGCTGAGCTGATTCCTTCTGCATTTCAAGGTCCATCTGGATTGAAGATTGGCGCGTGAAGGAAAAAATTGAGTGTAGGAGGGATAATTATTATACTTTTTATTGAAGAAAATTGCACTTTTGCAATTCAAGTTAAACAAGACCGTGAGAACAAATATAAAAACATGAGCAAATCTAATAGCGAGTCATGTGACCACTTACAGCAACGACTGCAGCTATTCTGGACGGTAACGAGTCGTAAAGTAATCGAACATATTTCCCATCGGCTTTCAGCCTTTCCCAGTCGTTGCTGACTTGCGCCCACAACTCGTCCGAAGTCGCGGAATAAAGGGTCTTCCTTGCCAAAGAAGCTTTCAGACGGCCCCATACGTTTTCTATTACATTCAGGTCCGCTCCTTTCGGAGGCCATTCCAGTAGGTGCATGTGGTGCTCCGCCTGGAACTCCTTGACAGCCCGCGCCATGTGTAACGGTGACCGGTCCTGTTGGAACAGGTAATCACCGTCTGGGAATAAACTGCTCGCATATGGCAACAGCACATTGTTCAAAATGTTGCGTTCAAAATGTTGCGTTCAAAGTGTTGTGTTCAAAATGTTGTATACGTGGACGATAAGTGTCCACGTATACGTTGCAGGGGCCCTAAACCATATCTTGAAACAGCACCCCACACGCTCACACTCGATCTCCCACCGGCAGAAACACCTTGCACGTTTCTGGGTCGTTCCTGCGTGGCATTTTGACGTTAACTAAAACAATTCCTTTTCAAAGCAGAAAGTTTGCCTCACCGTGTGCCTGGTAGTCTCCAAACACGCAACCTTTGGTCTTGTCGCGTCGAAAACGTCGACTCATCCGAAAAGATGACGCGCCCCCACTCTTCTGATGTACACTCTTCGTGCAACTCAGCGAACTGCCGTCGTGCGTCCTTGTGTGACGCCGTTAGTAGTAGCTTCTGCGCTGCGACGCGACTGCGAAGGCCCGCAGTACGCAGGCGACGTCGAACAGTGATGTCCGAAAGGTCCAAATCCAAGTCCTCGCGTATTGCTGGGGCTGGCAAGATAGGGTTACGAACAGCAGCTGCAACTATGAGGGTGTCTTCATCGTCTGTGGTAGCTTTAGGGTGGGGCGCGCGTGGTGCATTCTGAATGCGACCTTCATACTTATAGGCTTGAATTATCCTGTTCACAGTCTTCAGGGGCCTAATAACTAAAGCGCCAATATACTGCTGGGAACAACCTTTCAGGGAAAGATCGACAATTGAGCACCGTTCATCATCAGGAACCCTAGCCATAATGCGATCTGGCAACAGAATGAACGGCTGTAAAAGATGTTTGGTTGTTTTATATACGGCGTTGCATGCACAACAACTTTGAAGGGAACGAATAGACTCGCTGCCATCGATATACAAGTTTTTTTGTCTTCTTCTGTTCAAGCACAGATGTTTAAAGAAATCTTAAAATGCAGGATGCATGGGCTTAGAAAACAAAATGCGACTAGCAGACGACGAACAAGTGCATTCATGACGTCATGCGCGTGGTAGGACAATTATTTCGCGGAAGGCGTGATGCGCATGCGCAATGTTTCCAGTGATGATCGTAACGGGGCGCTGACAGTGCCGTCGGCCACGCGCTTGCGTGTTCACCCTAACAGTGCTCACCGCTACATACTGGCAGGGCATTGTACAGGCATTCAAAGTGTAGTGCTAGAAAAGTTACCGAAAGTTGAGCTTTCAAAAAACAGTTGCAAAGACTGGCCGTCAGTGAAAACAACCAGGCAAGTGAAGGGGAATAAATGTCTACTCTCACCTTTTCGTCTATCACTGAAGCATCTGTGGCTACTACATTATTGGTTTCCACCTGGGCAAGACAAAATCGCAGCTGGTTATTTCAGACTTTTTTGATTCTCCGCCTGGTATTTCTCGCCTTTCTTTAGAGCCTAGCGCATGTACACACCCCAGCGGCGCGTTATAATAATGCGACATTATTAAAGATGCTCGTTTCGCCGAAATTCCGGCGCTGGCATTGCCGATGTTAGTGTCAGCTTCGGCGTGGCCGGCGTTGGATTTGAGCGAGAAATCATCTTGTCTGTATCCGAAAAAATCGAGAAAGGTGCAAGTATAAAAATAACAAAACTTTCCGGATAAGACTAACGATAGAACCCAGGCCGTTTTCGTAGCAAGCAGAAACACACCCATCCTGTATATAGGCTTCAAGGTACAACACGTGATATGGCAGTAATATTGCTTGGTACCAGCATACATTGCCGTCGGGCGTCAGAACATGGGTCATGTTGATGATGATTTTAAGGAAGAATGGCACAACCCACCACAGGAGATTGACCACGAGGCGCACTGCAGTAGAATTCGTGAAACAAAATAAAGAAATAATTAAACGAAGAAAGAGAGAAGAAAAAGAAGAGGACGAAATTATGTGAAAAAGATAACCTAAAAAGAAACAAAAGTATTTGGCATCATTTTGGTTTCCTTCATTGCAATGCTACCTAAAGTTAAACATATGATCTATTTAATTGATATAGTTAAGGTGAATGAATAAATTAACAATTATGTTTCAGCTGTACTGATAGTTTTAAGATGGTATTCTCTTTGAATAAATTAAATAGTTAGATATAGCACTGTAAATGAACCTGTTGCAGTGTCTTAGTGCCGATGGCCGCAGGGAAAGCAATGCTAATGTAGGAAGTTCAGTTCAAGGCCCCATTTTTTAAAATGGTGGTTTCCGAAATTGTTGCCTCAAGTTCCTATATTTTTCACACTTCATAAAAAAAGTGCTTGATTGTTACTGCTTCATTACAAAAGTTACATTGCAGGGCAGAAACAAAGAGTTGTAGGCCTGTGTAAAGAAAATTTATTGACGGTAGTGTGCATTGAAACTATGTTAACGTAACTTCATCATGAGCTATTCCACGGACACCTAAGGTGATGGAAGCTTGTGTTGCTCAGTTCAGAAGATTTCGTATGTTCCTTGGGCAGCAAAAGATTTCTTAATTGTGCTAATGTGTTATTACGAGATGGTTTAGGATATTTAGGGCAGGTCTTTACCAAATGCTGCCGCTAGGGTGTCTGCCACCTTATTTATTTATAATCCAGTGTGGCCTGGTACCAAAACCAGGCGAACGTTCTACACATGATTTGGCATATACAAATAAAGTTCGGTGAGGCAGCTTGACGAGTGAGAAGCTGGTAGAGCAGTGCACACGGACAAGGAGTGTGTTAGCACCACCAGTGAAAGAATGTGCGCTGAATGTTTACAGATTGCAAGAATAATTGCCACTATTTCTGCCTGTAATATCGGTGTGAAGTCGGACAAGTGAGGAGAAAAGGACCAAGATCCACTTCACGCCAGTTACAAAAGCATCTGTGGCTACTACTAGATTTATCCGCACGCTCTTGAGTTGGTCTTCCAAAAAGCGTTTCAAATATCTGATTGACAATCGTTGAGCGTTTTTTTTTTTGAAATCTACTATCTAAATAAGTTACCACTGTGGGAGAAAGTACGTTTGGGTAAATTATATCACGAATAAATACTTGTAATGGTTGCAAAAGCTTCTTAACTACCTCTATGACTTCTTATAATGTAACGGTCTTGTAATGTCTTTTTCTGCAACAGGTATATGATCCGGGTAACGCCGTTGTGAAGCCACACTCCAGCCCTTTCACAAATGTATCAAGTGACTATACTAATTCTGCAGACGATAAACACGTTGGTTGTAAATTTGTTGGTTATGGGACCACCTTTTTTGCCGAAGGAAACTAAACAGGGTTTTCTAAAGTTTTGTCTCTGAAAAATAACTGTACCGCTTAAAGTTGTAACATTTTTTTTATTTCTCAATTCATTTGTCTAAATGTAGCAGCAGCATATTTATACTTTTTCTAGTTACATGGTCGCAAGTTGTAAAGTAATTTACACCTGGTTGCAAGTAAATTACGACTCCTTCTATAGCTTTCATTAATTTCTAAAATATGAAACTCTGCAGCTGTACCCATATATATATATATATATATATATATATATATATATATATATATATATATAATATATATATATATATATAGGATATATATATATCCTATATATATATATATATCGATATATATATATATATATCGTAGGACTGTGTTCCTACTTTCGGCGCTTCATTCGAAACTTCGCGACTATCATATCGCCGCTGACGAAGCTTCTCGGAAGTAACGGGCCTCTCCATTCGTGGTCATCACAGTGCGACGACGCTTTCAGAACACTTCGTCGTTTGTTGACGTCGCCTCCCATACTCCGCCACTACGACCCTACGGCCCCTACAGAGGTACACACGGATGCCAGTGGTGTCGGCCTCGGCGCTATCCTTGCGCAGCGCAAACCAGGGTTCCCGGAATATGTCGTGGCGTACGCGAGCCGTACGCTTACTAAAGCCGAGACTAATTACACAGTCACCGAGAAAGAATGTTTGGCAATCGTCTGGGCCCTTGCAAAGTTCCGACCTTATTTGTATGGTCGCCCATTTGATGTCGTCACCGACCACCACGCACTATGCTGGTTGTCGTCATTGAAAGATCCCTCAGGCCGTCTCGCCCGGTGGGCACTTCGCCTGCAAGACTATGACATCCGCGTGCTGTACCGCAATGGAAGGCAACATGCTGACGCCGACGCCCTGTCGCGCTCTCCCTTGCCTGACGACAATGCCAACAACTCAGTGTCTCACCTTGCCATTTCTTCGATTAGCATTCATGCTATTGCTGCTGAACAGCGCAAGGATCAATGGATTGCCTCACTGATAGACTTGCTGACTGATCCATCCACTCCATCCACTCGCGCGTTGCGTCGTCAAGCCCACCATTTCGCCGTTCGCGACGACCTCCTCCATCGACGCAATTACAACAGTGACGGCCGCCAGTGGCTACTAGTCATACCTCGCAGTCTGCGCTCTGACATATGCGAATTATTTCATTCTGATCCGCAGTGTGCGCACTCCGGGGTATCGAAGACTTACCACCGCATTCGCCAGCGGCACTTTTGGCGCGGCATGTACCGCTACGGGCAGAAATTCGTTCGCTCCTGCATAGAATGTCAGCGCCGCAAAACTTCAACGCACCTGTCGCCGGTAGGTCTGCAACCTCTACCTTGCCCTGCCAGGCCGTTTGGGCGCGTTGGCATCGATTTGTATGGGCCACTTCCACTAACGTCGGCTGGTAACCGCTGGGCCATTGTTGCTGTGGACCACCTCACGCGATACGCCGAAACGGCCGCTCTTCCCGCGGCTACAGCGAGCGATGTGGCTTCCTTTCTGCTCCAACGATTCATCCTGCGACACGGCCCACCCCAGGAACTGCTCAGTGACCGAGGCCGTGTCTTCCTGTCTGAAGTCGTTCAAGCCATTCTCAAAGAGTGCAACGTTGTTCACCGCAAAACTGCTGCTTACCACCCGCAGACGAATGGCCTCACAGAACGCTTCAACCGTACGCTGGGCGACATGCTCTCCAAATACGTCACCGCCGATCACACAAATTGGGATTCCATTCTACCCTTCGTCACCTACGCATATAATACCGCCCCTCAGAGCACTACTGGCTTTTCACCTTTCTTTTTATTATATGGAAGGCACCCGTCACACACCATCGACACGATACTTCCGTACAGGCCAGATCCGTCTGAGTGGGCACCTATTTCTGCTACAGCCAAGCTTGCTGAAGAATGTCGAGAGCTTGCAAAGACCTTTACTGCGCATGATCAAGAGCGGCAAAAAAGCATTCGCGCTGACGCCAGTACTACTGCACCCACATTCCTCCCTGGAGCGCTCGTCTGGCTCTCGATCCCTACTACTGCAACTGGCCTATCTTCAAAACTATTGCCTAAATACGAAGGCCCCTACCGTGTCGTCAAATGCACTTCCCCAGTCAACTACTTGATTGAACCCATCGAACAATCTTCGGACATGCGTCGTCGAGGACGCGACATTGTTAACGTGGAGCGCCTCAAGGCCTACCATGACCCGCTCATTGTAACCAGCTGTTAGGTCGCCAGGCGGCTCCCTTTTCGTACCCGGGGTAGTTGTGGTAAAGCCTTTGAACAGTGGGTCATCCTCTTCAGCGCCTTCTAGTGGGTCGCCCTTTTTCTTAAGAAGAAGAGCAGCTCGTGCAGAGAGTCGATCCCCGCATTGACTGTCGCTGTCGTGAATCATCGCTGAGTGTCCGTCAATAAACCGCTTAACAATTTATATATATATATATATATATATATATATATATATATATATATATATATATATATATATTTATAT